AAAAATAAAAATAAAAAAAATAAATAAATAAACTGCTAGGGGCTGGCCCCATGGCCGAGTGTTTAAGTTTAAGTCCCCTGCTTCAGTGGCCCAGGGTTTCACCAGTTCGGATCCTGGGCACTGATCTAGCACCACTCATCAAGCCATGCTGAGGTGGCATCCCACATGCCACAACTAGAAGGACCCATAACTAAAATATACAACTATGTACTGGAGGGCTTTGGGGAGCAGAAGGAAAAAAATTTTTTTTAATTTAAAAATAAATAAATAAACTACTCTAAGATTCACCTTACACCCATTAGAATAGCTATAAGCACCAAGACAAAAAGTAACAAATGTTGGAGGGGATGTGGAGAAAAGGGAACCCTCATACTCTGCTGGTGAGAATGCAAACTGGTGCAGCCACTATGAAAAACAGTATGCAGATTTCTCAAAAAATTTAAAAAAATACCATATGACCCAGCTATGCCACTACTGGGTATTTATCCAAAGAACTTGAAATCAACAATACAAAGAGACTTACGCACCCCTATGTTCATTGCAGTGTTATTCACAATAGCCAAGACGTAGATGCAACTCAAGTGCCCATCAACTGATGATTGGATAAAGAAGGTGTGGTGTATATATATTCAATGGAATGCTACTCAGCCGTAAAAAAAGGACAAAATCGTCCATTTGCAACAATGTGGGTGGACCTGGAGGGTGTTATGTTAAGTGAAATAAGCCAGACAGAGAAAGACAAACACCATACGATTTCACTCGTATGTGGAAGATAAACTAACTCAGGGACAGAGACAACAGTTCAGAGGTTACCAGAGAGGAAGGAGGTTAGGAGGGTGGGCATAAACGGTGAAGGGGCACATTTATATGGTGGCTGACAAATAATAACATACAACTGAAATTTCACAATGTTATAATCTATTATGACCTCAATAAAATAAATAAATAAATAAATAGTAGTCAAAAACTATTGGTAACTCAACAACTTGGATGAAACTTAAAGGCGTTATGCTGAGTGAACAAAGCTAGTCTCAAAAGGTTACATATTGTCTGGTTCCCCATTGCTATGACATTTTTCCAAAGACATAACTATAGTGACTGAAACTTGTCTGTTCTCAGGGGTTATGGTGAAGAGAGGGTGTGACTGGAATGAGAAAGCACAAGGGAGTTTTTGGGGGCAGAGAATTGTTCTGTATTTTCATTGTGGTGGTGCTCACGTGAATCTGTACGTTAAGATCTCTAAAACTGTGCATCAGAAGAGTTTCAGGTATTTCTCTATTGTTCTGGAATTGTGTGGCTAAAAGTAGCCTGTCCTTCTTGTCTTTACAGGTACTTGATATTTTGCTTGGGCGCCCAAAGAACTATTTTCTTCCCTTGGAAATCCAGTCATTTTACCAAGGTGCATCTCAGAGTTGACCATTTTGAATCAGTATTTTCTGAAAACGTGTTATAGTTTTACGTCTTCTTTTATTCCTATGAAGTATGTTTTTCAAATTACCTTTTCGGAATTTTTTTCCCATTCCATGTGTTTTGACTCTTCTTCTGAAACACTCAGTAAGTACATACTGGATTTCATTTGTCTATCTTCCTTATCTGTCATTTCTTTTTGATCCTTTTAGACTGTTCATTTCAGCTTCAGTTTGCTCACTGATTAATTAACTGTCCTTCGTGCTCTTCACTACGTTTGCAAAAGAGCCCATTGTCCTTTATGCCGCCTCCACTGGACCTTCACTTTAGATTTCTCTTCTTCTGTTCCAAGTTCTGCCAGCTCATGTGCCCTCTTCTTCCATTGTCTTGACATATAGTCTCTAAGCTCTTGTATTTCGCTCTATGTTTCATCCATATTTTTTTAGAGTTCCGGTTGATATTACCATGGCCTGGAAGACCCTATATCATCGGGTCACCCTCTTGCTCTCGACCTCTTCACCTTCCTCTCAATCTACAGCATTCCAGCAATCCTGCCCTTCTTGCTCTTCCTTACACTCTCCAAACATGCTCCCTCTCAGCATCCATGCAGTCACTCACCTCTCTGCCTGGAACACCCCACCCCCAGAGGTCCACATGGCTTGCCTCCTCACTTCACTCCCTTAAAGAAATCTACCTGATGCCAACCCAGAATATAAATCTTCCATTTATATCTTGTCAGTCAAAACGGTGTCACACAGTCACTCCTAGATGCAAACAGAACTGGGAAATGTAGTTTAAAAAAAACATAGGCATATTTGGGGATCCAAATAAAATAAGTGTTCTTTCAGTAAGGACGAAGGGTGAATCGTGATGGGATAGGCAGACAGCAGCATCTGCCACATTCCCCCACAGGAGCAGCCACTCTGCCTGATTTGTTCACTGCTTTATCCTCAGTACCTGTACTCAGGTCTGGCACATAGTATATTCTGATAAATATTTGTAGTATTAATTAATAACATCATCTCTCTAGTGGGAACAAAATTTCCAGCGTGGTTTTTTCATCAGCTTCTTGTATGTCTACTCCTTTTCTTCTTTCTTCTTGTAGTGTCTTTGTGGATGTCCTGCGAAAGTTCTTCTTCCCAACATTTTACTATGAAAAACTTCAAACATAGAGAAAAATTGAAAGAATTGCACAGACCAGTTCTTTTATGAGAATTACTTATATTTGAATTAGGTGAGTTCTTTCCAGACCAGCCATGTACAAGAGATCTGTGGGGAAGGCAGAAGGGCCGTGTTTTGGGTCAGCAGGAAATCTTCCTGGTTTACAAGGAAGTGGCTCAGGTCACAGCCTTTTGTGTTTGAAAGCAGTTTTGATCGTTACTTCTCCCAGGCAAAAGCGAGCAGCAGTAGCGGATTCATATTCTCTTTCTTCTCCCCTGCCTCACCAGCACCCAGCTTCCTGAAAAGGAGGCCTGGCTCTGCTGTGTCTCCTTATTCCCTGGATCACCCCATTCACAATGTACCGGTCAACTTTAAAATAAAATAGCCAGGTATTTTACCAGCAAAATGAGTTGATTTGGGAATAGCAAAGGTTTTGCAGTTTGGGACATGCAAACTATGGTGAACCACAGGCAAGTCCAGAGAACAAAGGAAGGAACCTTGCTTTGTTATTATTTTATTTATTTTTTTTTTGAGGAAGATTAGCCCTAACCTAACATCTGCCACCAATCTTCCTCTTTTCTTTTTGCTGAGGAAGACTGGCCCTGAGCTAACATCCATGCCCATCTTCCTCTACTTAATATGTGGGACACCTGCCACAGCATGGCTTGGCAAGTGGTATGCAAGTCCGCACCCGGGATCCCAACTGGAGAACCCCTGGCCACTGAAGCAGAACATG